ATATATATATATATACATACATATATACATATGTATATATATATATACATACATACATACATATGTATATATATGTATATACATACATACATACATATGTATATACACATACAGATCGCATTCCAAAAAAGTTGGGACATTAAACAAATTGTGAATAAAAACTGAATGTAATGATGTGGAGATGGCAAATGTCAATATTTTATTCGTAATATAACATAGATGACAGATCACAAGTTTAATCTGAGTAAATGTAACATCCATCCATCCATCCATCATCTTTACCCGCTTATTCCATTTTTGGATCACGGGGGTCGCCGGTGCCCATGTCCAGCAATCACTGTGCGAGGGGCGGGGGACACCCTGGACGGGTCTCCAGTCCATCACAGGGACACATAGAGACAAACGAGACAAACAACAATTCACTCTCACACCTAGGGACAATTTAGAGTCACCAATCAGCCTAACATGCATGTTTTTGGTCTGTGGGAGGAAAGTGGAGCACCCGGAGAAAACCCACGCATGCACGGAGAGAACATGCAAACTCCACCCAGAAAGGCCCCTGGACCGGGGTTTGAACCAAGGACCTGCTTGCTGAGAGGCAGCAGCTCTACCAGTTGCACCACCGTGCTGCCCTAAATGTAACATTTTAAAGGAAAAATATGTTGATTCAAAATTTCACAGTGTCAACAAATCCCAAAAAAGTTGGGACAAGTAGCAATAAGTGGCTGGAAAAAGGAAACTGAGCATATAACGAACAGCTGGAAGACCAATTAACACTAATTAGATCAATTGACGACATGACTGGGTATAAAAAGAGCTTCTCAGAGTGTCAGTGTCTCTCAGAAGCCAAGATGGTAAGAGGATCACCAATTCCACCATTGTTGCACAGAAAGATAGTGCAGCAATACCAGAATGGTGTTACCCAGCGTAAAATAGCAAAGACTTTTAAGTTATCATCATCAACCGTGCATAACATCATCAAAAGATTCAGAGAATCTGGAACAATCGCTGTGTGTAAGGGTCAAGGCCGTAAAACTCTACTGGATGCTCGTGATCTCCGGGCCCTTAAACGTCACTGCACCTCAAACAGGAATGCCACTGTCAAGGAAATATCAGAATGGGCTCAGGAATACTTCCAGAAAGCATTGTCAGTGAACACAATCCACCGTGCCATCCACCGTTGCCAGCTGAAACTCTACAGTGCAAAGAGGAAGCCATTTGTAAGCAAGCTCCACAAGCTCAGACGTTTGCACTGGGCCAGGGGTCATTTAAAATGGAGTGTGGCAAAATGGAAGACTGTTCTGTGGTCAGATGAGTCACGATTTGAAGTTCTTTATGGAACACTGGGACGCCATGTCATCCGGACCAGAGAGGACAAGGATAGCCCAAGTTGTTATCAACGCTCCGTTCAGAAGCCTGCATCACTGATGGTATGGGGTTGCATGAGCGCTTGTGGCATGGGCAGCTTGCATGTCTGGAAAGGCACCATTAATGCAGAGAACTATGTTCAGGTTCTAGAACAACATATGCTCCCATCTAGACGTCATCTCTTTCAGGGAAGACCCTGCATTTTTCAACACGATAATGCCAGACCACATTCTGCAGCAATCACAACATCATGGCTACGTAGGAGAAGGATCCGGGTACTGAAATGGCCAGCCTGCAGTCCAGATCTTTCACCTATAGACAACATTTGGTGCATCATAAAGAGGAAGGTGCCACAAAGAAGGCCCAAGACGATTGAACAGTTAGAGGCCTGTATTAGACATGAATGGGAGAGCATTCCTATTTCTAAACTGGAGAAACTGGTCTCCTCTGTCCCCAGACGTCTGTTGAGTGTTGGAAGAAGAAGGGGGGATGCCACACAGTGGGAAAAATGGACTTGTCCCATCTTTTTTGGGATTTGTTGACGCCATGAAATTTGGAAACAACAGATTTTTCCCTTAAAATGAAACATTCTCTCAGTTTAAACTTTTGATCTGTGATTTGTGTTCTATTCTGAATAAAATATTAGATGTTGGCACCTCCACATCATTGCATTCACTTTTTATTCACAATTTGTTTAGTGTCACAACTTTGTTGGAATCTGGTTTGTATATACACGCACACACACACACACACAGACATATATACACACACACACACACATATAGAAAACATACAGGTCCTTCTCAAAAAATGAGCATATTGTGATAAAGGTCATTATTTTCCATAATGTAATGATAAAAATGAAACTTTCATATATTTCAGATTCATTGCACACCAACTGAAATATTTCAGTTCCTCTGTTCTCCTCCTACACACTTCACCTAAAACATTCATGTTAGCTTACAATCCAGAAAAACACTCATCTCCAAAACTAAACGTTTGATGGACTGAAAGAATCGTGTAGAACCTGCTGTCTGATTAATGCTTTGGCCATCAAGTGGATTGCTGAAGGTCCGTTCTGGGTGGTCCCCCCTCCCCGCCCCCCCACCGGCAGCATCCACCCAGGTGGAGCGCCCTGACGCTGCATCTCATGCCTCAATTAGTGCTGCTGCCCTCTGCTCGGACTCCATTAGGCCGTGATTTATCCCAAAGAAATATAATTATAGCTCCAAATAAAATAATCAGCATTGAGGAGCGATTTCCTTAACGAGACGCAGCGCGGAGCTCGTCACGGAGCAGCAGCGCCTCATTACGGCGCTAATGACACTTTGGGGTGATCCCCATAATTATTGAGATGTGTAAAATAAGGATCAAGTCAAATGTAACCTTCATTTGTCTGGCAGTCCAGCTCCTTCATTAGACTGTTCAGGAAGGACCCCCCCGGCCTTACTTTAGAACAGCTGCAGCACCGACCAACATCTGGATTCTGACGGACAGGCTCTCTGTCGCCATGGAGACACATCAGCTGCTGTACAACACATTTAAGAGGCAGAGTGCTGATGTGCCCGTCACTTTGAACAGTGAATGTTTGTATTTGGACATGGGTGTTTTTCTGGAGTAAACCTAAATGTTGTTGATGCACGATGTTCTGTTGGGGGGGGGGGGGGGTGTTACACTGTGGAGAACATTGTCTGAGACAGCTCTGAGTGGAGGGAGCAACTTGAGGAAGCTAACCCCATTTTCCAGCATGCTCACGTGCACTGATGGTGCTTTCACTTTTTGCTCTGTGATGGGGGACAGTGATCACTACATGCCACCATGAATGTGTCTGTTAGCAAAATATCTCATGAGCCATGGGACTGAATGTAAACCTGCACAATCACTGGACGAACACAGACAACTGTAACTTTTGGAGTCTATTCAATTCAAGATGGCTGCCACAGCAAGTTGGGTTTCACCGACATTGAGCCAAAACTGAACGAGGTAGTAGCTGAGAGTCGTTCACAACTCTGAGCGTGACATCACTGCGAGACGGCGCTGGACACGCAGTCCTTCACGTTACGCTGAGCGGGTCTGAACTGTGAGTGACGACAACGGTTCAGTTTTTACTTGTCATTTTTTATTGAAAACAAGACGTTCTGAACAGAGGAGGAACGCTGCTCTGTAACTTACTGACTGCTCTACCAGAGCAGTCAGTAAATGCTCTGGTAGAGCAGTCGGTAAATGCTCTGGTAGAGCAGTCGGTAAATGCTCTACCAGAGCAGTC